GAAACTAATTCAAATATCTCTTGGATTCTCCAGCAGTAAATAAGCGGATTAATTGACGAGCTGAAATACGCCACTGTTTTGGTGCATGTTTTAATGCGGAGATATGTTTGTTCATCGACGAAAACGCTCGAAATTGCTTCCAGAATTAAATGAGGTGAATAACAGAGAAGAAGAAACCCGCAAACATACGCCATTGTAAGAGCAGATTTCTTATAATAGGCCATGGTAACCGCGTTGGGGGTATTTCTTGCTTGAATATGAGTTTTACAGAAACGTAAACCCACGCAAACCCTTGTGTAGCAAGCAAAGGTTAATAGGAAGCAAAAACTAACCACAACAGTTTGTAACTGCCGAGCTGCGTGCTTATTTCCAAGCCGCAAACCAATCCACAGACAGGCGATCATCCAGCAACATGCAATTGCTAGAAGTGTCTTTTTCAGAGTCACAATGTCGCGGTATTTCCCTCGCAGGCGATACGCCAGGTATCTATCTACCGAAATCACAGTGACCGTTAATAGCGAAACGGCTGCCAGTGCATCTCCGAACAAAGAATCAAATACCGCGATTATGCAGATCTCTTTGTTAAAGTCTTGTCGGTAGCCAATGATCTTAGACGCTGCAAAGAGAGGCTGAGAAAATAGGCCGACACCAAGATCTGTTAGAGCGAGGCTAAACAGGAGTGCTTTCGACGGTGGATGAATGGTGCGACATTTCTTCAACACGAGTACAATAAGTAAGTTTCCAACGAATGCTGTAAGCGACAACGCGAGGTTTATAAATGCAAGAGCAACCACGAACGGCAGTGGACCGTCTTCAGTTATTAACTTTTTGGTCAGTGAATCACATATCTCCTGGTAAACCATATCGAACCATAGCTAACCATCATAACAGACCTTTCAGCTTGGTAGTATTTTGTAAAACCCTGCAGTCACGTGACCGAATCGCTGTTTTTTTTTTTTCCTGAGGTTAGGCCATTAACTCCCATTGGGAAAAGCTTCTCATGATCTCAATATTACAATGGTAAAATACGTTTTTCCGATGTCGAATTAGGTGTCAAATTGATCTGTGCATTGATTTAAAGCAATTTCAGAGACCTCGATGGGGGTCTTTATGAAAACAAACATGACCGATAATTGATATTGCTCGATCCCCAGTGGAGAGTTAATTGTTTAGAACACCCCTGAGATTCGACTTTTTAACAAATGAATTTTTAACTTGAATAAACAGTTGTGCGGATATTAAAATTTTGTTTGAAATAAGTTATTCTCTGGTCAAGCAGTAACTCTAGCTATGTTTGTTTCTTTACCAATAAGGTACTCGCTGACCACTGGTTGTCTAATCATTGTTGATTATCTCGCTCTGCAATTATATTGTTTATATGAAGGATAATGAATCTCTGAATTAGTTCTTAACAACAATTTGTTCGCCAAAATATGACTCAAAATATGATAAGATAGTTATTGTAGTTATTTAAACAGAATGATTTTGACAAGAAATTAATATCAAAAGAACTGTCGGTTAGCTAAATTGTGTTTTTATTATGAGGTCCAGTTCTGCGGGGTGTTTCAGAAAAGAAATGGAGTTATTAAAATGCCAGCTACTCGCAGAAATCATACTGAGCACTAAGCAGAAAACAATTTTTAGCAAGCAAAAATTTGGCATATTGATAGCTTGCACACTGAGCTAAACCCAAGCAAAATGATTTCGTAATATATTTTCGCAATATTAATTGAAGAAACAGACTACACTTAGATCATCAGTTATTCCAGTTTGTTCCGCCACACTCGTGGCCAGGGTTTTAAATTCCTTGCTTTTCTTAAGGATGTTTAAAACTACAGACTACTACATAAACTAAAGAACCCGTTTTCCAATCTAAACGTCAAGTAAACTTATTATTTCTCACACGTCGCTTGGTGTGACTTTGTCTGATTCCACAGCATGTTTTAATTGTACGAAGTTCCTTTTGTGGGAGAGCAGATTGATGGCCTTGGAAAAGGTAATTTTTTCTAACATGGAATGAGTTAAAGTAATCGTTACTAATTAAATGTTAATTCCTCTTTACTCATACTTTATTTGGGTAGCTTTAATTATGGCTGTCAAACGGCTGATGTGGACCTATTATAGAATAAAACCGCTATTCAATTTATATAATTTTTGCAGCAGTTGTCAAAATTATGTAAATGAGATGTTGAACTGTTGTAATTTATATCACTTGTCACATACCGTAAC